GGTATATATCATCTAATGGATCTGAACAATGTCAGATCAATTGACTGAAATCAGAAAAAACAAAACATACCAAGGGACATCCGGGACTGGGAGGACTCATCCACATCCATTGAAGTAAATTCAGTGACCGGAGGGTCATGAAATCTGACCCCAGGTTGAGAGCTCATGATATCTGATGAGCTGATGCACTGATGAACTGATTGATAACTGATAACGTCGAAGTTCAACAGATGGCCAGTGATTGCCGAAAGTTGAACAATGACCAAACAAACACAAACAATCAACGAATTTTCAACATCGTCCTTCAATTGTATTGTTTCTTTGAAACTTCATTCTATTGATAACAGATTTCACCCTGCTTTCAACATTCTCACATCTGTCAACTCCATCCAAATGTCTACTCAAGTTCAATCTTCATTGGCCAACCTCAAGGCATCCACTGCTCAACTTGTGGGCATCATTGCCAGCGCCCGGCACATCCCGGCCGGCTCTGTGGACGTCCACCTTGTTCTAACAAAGCAGGTCACCACTCTTTTGGTATGTTGAACTTATTAAATTAGTGTAACATTAATGTTTGTAATGTCCGGGTAGGCTGACATCATCCGGGCCCATGAGAAAGGGGAGTACATCCCTGGAATTGTGGTGTCCTGCTCTAAGGAGCTGATGAGGGTGCGTTCCATGACTCCCCGGGCATTGCCCAACTGGCACAGCATTGGCCACAATGACCCCCGGGTGGCTAGACACGCCTGGCGCAAGCAAGTCCGTGCCTGGGAGGCGTTGGGTGACAATTCCTGTGATCTCCCTGTTATCCCTAACATTTCCACTGGCCCACTCACTGTCAACCTTCCATCTCCACCTGTCCCTTCACCTGCACTTGTCCCTTCCCCCACCACCGTCATTCCCTCACCTCCGGTCGTCGCCGGACCTTCCGGCAAGACGACCCCCGAGGTCTGGGACAAAGGAAAAGGTAAGGCCACCTCCGTCGACCTGTCGCCGGAAGTTGGGGGGAGCAACAAGAGGAAGTCTCCAATGATTTCAGGACACTCCTCCCAACCTCCAAAGTCGGCGCTGAAGGCTCGCAAGCGTGTCAAGTCAAGTCAAGTCAACTCCCCAAGTCAAAGCCGTTTGTGGAGTCGGAAGATGATGAGGACCCAATTGTTCAGGTATGTGTTCTGGCTGATTTCTGACATGCTCTCAATTTGTTGCAGCCGATTTCGCGTGGAGTGCCGGAGGTCGTCCTTCCCCAGCGCACCATTGTGGTAAGGAAGCCCCAGTCACCTTGGTCACCCGGTTCCCCCAAGAAGCAATCATTTGGGCCTGCTTCGGTAAGTTTGCATTTTTCGTTTGGACTTTAAATATATGCTCATGTGTCCACAGCTGACTGCCGGCAGTCATCCGGAGGTTACGGTGAGTCGTTTGGACATGTCTGGACCTCCCATGTATAATTCCCACTCATTCCCATTACATTAGAAATCTCCCATCAGTCATCCGGAGGTTCCGGTCAGTCGTCCGGAGGCTCGGGTAAGTCCTAGAAGTTTTCCAGAAACTCATGTGTATTAACAATCTGTCAGGCAACCTCCAGCAGGCGTCCGGAAGTTGAGGAGGAGTCCTCTGATGATACTTCCAGTGCTTCAGATGGTGACCCACCGGCCACTACCACATTTGATATCACCATTCCCGGCCCAGTGAGTACTCAAATAAATTCCCCTTAGTCCATCTACTAACGGATACTACAGAACAACCCCTGCCATTATTGTGTCAAGGAAAATTGGCTCTGTGCGACTTGATTGGACAAGAGGTCCAGCATCCCCTGCTTGTCTTGCATCCGCTGCTCCACCAAGAAGATCAAATGCAACCCTGCATCTCTGGGATCCCCACCCAAACGGACCCGAGGGAAGTCTACCACCGGCCGGACGCGTTCCAAGACACCTGCCCCTGCTCCATCCAATGCTCCATCTCCCTCCTGGTCAAGGGCCCGAACTCGTAGTCAATCTTGTGGCCCTTCCCGAACTCCGGCCATCCCTGCTGCAACCACACCCCAGGTGCAGTCACGTGGTTGCAGCAAGACCATCACTACCAAGAAGACACCTGCACCTGCACCTGCACCTGCACCTGCACCTGCACCTGCACCTGCACCTGCACCTGCACCTGCACCTGTTCCTGCACCTGTCCCTGCACCTGTCCCTGCACCTGCGCCAGCTGGTAAGTCACCCATACTTTTGATGACCGGCTGACCAAATTTTTTACTTAGCAGTCAGGTCTTCCAGTGTCGCAGTGCCTCATGCAGCACTCAATGTTCCCATGCCGGATCTCCATTCCATGGCAATCGCGATTTGGGATGGTGCAGCTCGCATCGCTATTCTTGAGGCTCGGGTGCAGGAGCAGGACGCTAAGATTGATACCCTGCAATGCCTCCATGAGAGCCTCCGGCGCACAGTGGTCGACCGGCACCCTTCATTTTCACTTCCAGACACACCGGCCGATGGAATAATGTTGCTTGGTCAAGGAGGTCCCCCCCGTCCATGTCACCCCTCCCCTCCGCACTTTCCAACCTCATTGATTTGGACTTTTCAGTCATGCAACCTACACCCTTGACGCCTGAGCATGAATCTGCTGTGGTAGGTCCCATGGTTGAGCCCACCCAAGTTCAGCCTGAGGGTCCACAATCCTCCGGCGAAATTGATCTCCCTGATGAACCAGGCAACCTCCTGCCAGAATATGATTCTTCTGATGAGGAGATGGATGTTGAGGGAAAGGTTGATCTTCCTGGTGAGGAGGTTGACATGGCTACATAATTGCTCAGTGATAGATGTACATAAATGTTTTTCCATGCATGTTACCTATGCCACAATTGAATCATTCAATGATCACTCCCGATATCCAGAACTCGAAACTGCAGATTGAGGTAGATATCACCCGAAACCCAAACACCCGAATGTCAAATTATCAGTGCCGAACCCCGAGTCCCAGGTGCCGGGTACTGAGTCCCGACACCCGGAACTCAGGATTTGACATTTTAGACGAACGACATCTTCCAGACATGTTTAAATCAACCTATGTATATCTGTAAACATTTTACTAACCCCCAAACCCCAAACCGAGATGTACCAACCCCCAAACCCCAAGCCCCGAGAGTGCCGGGTCTCAGGTATCGGGTGTCCGGAACTCGGAACTTGGGAGAATTTGGGGAGATCAATACAATTTAATTTACAATCGAGTTGATTGACAACACATTGACTTACCCATGTTTGCAATATATTTTTGTTTAGACATACCGAGTTCCAAGTTCCGGACACCCGATACCCGAGACCCGGCAGTCTCGGGTCTTGGGGAGACTGCCAGGTCTCGGGTTTCGGGTGTCCGGAACTCGGAACTCGGTATGTCTAAACAAAAATATATTGCAAACATGGGTAAGTCAATGTGTTGTCAATCAACTCGATTGTAAATTAAATTGTATTGATCTCCCCAAATTCTCCCAAGTTCCGAGTTCCGGACACCCGATACCCGATACCCGGCACTCTCGGGGTTCGGGGTTTGGGGATTGGTACATCTCGGTTTGGGGTTTGGCACTGAAAATTTGACATATATATTTTTGTGAGTGTTGTGCTTCTGGTGTCCATGCTTAGAAATAGGATTTGTTGCACACCAGGGTTCAGGTGTGGGGTTTTTCCACTTCAGTCCTGGATTATTGGTCAATGCCACACATGATAGATTCATGTTTTTGTGCTTAGGGGTTTAGATTTGGTGGTTGATGGTAGGTATATGCACTGATAGTGTACATGTATCCTATGTGTTTGATTCGCTGGTGGCTACATCAGCTGTATGTCTTGATGGAACATATCTAGGCTCACCCATATATGTAATACACCCCCGTCGGCCCGCCTGTCTATGTATTATCCCCCACGTCGGCCGACCCATCTATGTAATACATCCTATGTTGGCCCACCCGTCTATATAATACATCCTACATCGGCCCACCCGTCTATATAATTATACCCCACCTCAGCCCACCTGTCTATGTAATAAATATTTTATAGCACCCTCGGCCCACCGGTCTATTTGATATCCCTTTCGTCGGCCCACCTGTATATGGAATACACCCTACGTCAGCCCACCCGTCTATGTAATATTCCCCTACCTCGGCCCACCCATATATGTAATACACCCATGTCGGCCCGCCCATCTATATAACAATATTTGCCTTACATCTCTCTTCAGCCCAGCTGTCTATAATATCCTACTCTACATATTACCCAGATGGGCCCACCCATCTCCATGAATGATCATATTCCCCCGGCCCATCCGTCAACATTAAGGATATATATATCATTGGCATACATGGGCCCACCCGTCTCCATCGGAAATAATATGTGTCCCGGCCCATCCGTCATCATCGAGAATATACACAACATGGGCCCATGATCAGCTGGCCCGTCTCATACGGGATATTATGGAGGTCGGTTGGCCCGTATAATACAGAATTTGTCACTGAAGGGGCTCATACTTCCTGGGCAAGTTGTATAAGTGCGCAGTCATAGCGCGGTTGCCCATGGAAGCCTGGAGTGCATTGAAGGTAGTCGGTAGTTTGCTTCCAGTCGATGGTAGACTCGTAGTGAACTTTGAGAAAGTGATGTTCACGAATCTGGTTCAGAAATACATAAATCAGTACAAGACACATACTAAAACAAGATCAACTCACCAAGAAGTTTGTCGGTATGGTGACCCATCTTTCCAGTTGATATCCATACGTTGGTAATGAGTTGTTGATAAAATCGGAAAACTTCTTACGAAAGCCTTGAAACGCACGATCCAATTGGCCGCTGTGGGTCTCGATGTCTTGGATGGCTACGGGCTGTTGCATCGAACCAAGTTTGATGTGCCCCTCGAAAGCAACAGGATTCAGGTCTTCATCATCATCATTGCCCTCTCCTGCCAATGTGCACCACTCATCAAGCACGTCCACATGCGCTCTCAACATTTTGGCTGCGAATTTGTGCGTGTCAACACGCAGTATCTAACAAGATCTTTACATGAGTGAACATCAGATGCTATAATGTTAGAAACATACCTGGTCAGCGACGTCCTTTCCATTTGACCGGTGCTCGTAGGCCTCTTTGAGGGGGCCATGAAGCTTCTCATTCGGATGGGTGCTGTAGTTGCATACTGCACCCTTCATTCGGATGTCCCTAGTTGCGTGCTTCCAGAGATGCGCCTTTGGAAAGTCCCAGTCAAGCTTGAGACCTATGATGGGAGAATTGAGAGCACATTTGATGTATTCCTAGAATGTGTGATCAACAATCTATTTAAAAAGTGAATGAACAAAACATTTACCTTGAGTGCGCTATCAAAAACAAGTAGTTCAGCATCAATTGCTGCCAGCGTGCTTGATGTATGCACGTCGAGACCAATATACATAGCTATCCAATTGCAGATAGCTACTAATAATGTGAAGAAGTTTATACCCTTCTGGGCTGGTCCTCTGGTTCAAGATGTTTACCGCAGAATAGAAGGCTTGCTGCACGTCAGTTAGTATTAGAAAGCCAAAAGCCTCATGATACGTACCTTGGATAGATCTTGCATCTTGTTACCATCACTGAAGGTAATGTGGATGATGGTGCTGAAATGATTAAGATTGCGCCATCAAGGGAAACTAGCAACCCTACTGAAGGTCATGAGTTGATGAGAATCGCCATGTGAATGACTTACTGTTTCTCGACCTTTGACTCTTCATCATGTCCAAGCACTTTGAGGATTTTCTTCAACTCCTCGAGTAGGTGCCTCCACATACCAAGATGGAGGGCATGAAGGCGGTCAAAACTGATGGCTTGATGAGGGTCAGAGTGCGCAACGAGCCAGAAAACATTCTGTTGATGAGATATTAGTAACAAAAACATGGAGGCGAAACGAGAGAGTGAATATCGCTGATAACTTACCGCGACAGCACGCAATCCTAATGCCTTGAGTAGTTCCTCACCTCGAGCTTTGCTGACCTTGTAAACATTGAGTGTGGTGTAGAAACAAAAATACTGTGAGGAACAAATGATGCTCCTGACTGTATCTAAAAATGTTGTATGTTGTGCATTGCCTAGTCTGCTATGCTTGAGATGGCAAGCGCGTTCGACCCTAAAGGGGAAGCGAGTGGAGCAAAGATCTAGAGGTACGCGCCGAAGCGAGGCACGGGAACACGCGCGCGTATTAGCGCGAAGCGTGGGAAAGCGCGCGCGCGTGTGCGGAAATGAGAAAGAGGTTAGACTTAAGTGATAATATGATGCAAGATAAGAGAAGAGAGATGTGAAATATAGACAAAATGGATTTCTACTATGTTCTTCTAGGTAGATAGTGGGTGGAAAGTAAAGTGAAAGGCAGGAAAAGTAAGTTGTAAAAATGGAAAGTAAGTTGAAAAGTCCGTAATAGTATGTACTGCTGGCACTTATATAGCGCACCTAAGCGCTGTAATGCGGAGCCGAAGCGCTACTGAGTAGGTATGTAAAGATATATATGAGTGAGAGTCCATGATAAAAATAAAGACAGAACAATATGCTAATAAAGGAAATGGAAATATATGCACTAGGGAGCTTGGTGGACAGTGGATGGATGCTTCTGGATGGCTAGTGCTATAGGGCGCTCAAGCGCGGGAAAGTGCGCGCGCATATACATCACGAAGCGCAGGAAGTGTGCGCGCATTGTGCGGGAAAGCTGCGCCTCATATAGGGATAACTGTGGGTAGCGCACGGAGTGACACTACAAGTTCATGCTATGTACTCCTTGGTGGAAACTGCCATATCATGCCATGAGAGGCATGAGTCTCTACAGCGGCTATTGCTTCTTCCACTGTTCTAAATGCAAACATCTTTGATAGCTCGCTAAGTTCTTCGAGTGGTACAAGACATACTGGACAGGGACATTTGCTATGGTGGCCATGAATGAGAGACATCATGCATCTAAAAACAGTCCAATATCAGATTGCGGACATGTGTAAGAATATAGAACTTACTGTTCTTCATAATCAGCAGAAAGTACCAGAATAATGGGAAACAACCAGCGTGCGATCTTGTCATAGCAAGTATGTGAATAACCAGACTTTGAGTGTTGCACGACCAGTTCCAACAGTTTTAAGAATGCCTCATGCCATATGATGCGCTTGAGGTTTACGAAGCCTGGCTTGCCTTCTTCGTCTGCATCTTCAGATACCTGCAACTATAATGAGTCACATCAGAAGATTTGATCAGAATGTTGACGTACGATTGGCAACCACCCGACAACACGGCCACTGCCGATGCCCTCTCCATTCCATATGCCAACTGGCAAATTCGCACAACAGACCATGACAGGATATCCCTTTACTGTACCGTGGGACAACAGTCTTGTCTTGTCCGCGTACAGGATGAAGCAGAATGGAGCAGCCTTAATGTCACTTGGAAGGCGACTCTGATTTGTTGATGCTGAGTGAGAGTAGATAGTGATATTAACAAAGATTACATGCCTGGACATCCCACCATTGATCACCCGTCCAAGGCTCATTGTAAAAGTGTTCAAACTCCCTGCCATTGTGCTTGAAAACTTGTTGTGCATCCCAGACAAAATGCGGAGCAAGCAGTGGATTAGCTAACAAATCAAGAGCCCAGTCCCACAGAGGCAGCACATGAGTCTTATACACTCGATGTTCTTTTTTGTAAGGAACAGTGATGTTGTGTTTTACAAACTAATTCACAACATATATCATACAAAATGTGAGATTTATTAATGACATACCGGCGTCACCTGAGCAGCTGCATGTTCCCAAGCTTTGCGCAGCTCATTATCATTTGAAAAAGTTACCTGGCTCTCTCCTCTCGATATGCGACCAATGAGCACAAGGAGCGCATCAATTTGTGATTTATTGAGTGCGGCATTGAGTGCGATCTCCGCAAACTCAAAGTCGCCGCGGGAACAGAAAGGACACCAGGGCTCTTCATCTACAGGGAGCTCTTCCTCAGGATGCGAATTGACACCGAACTCCTCAAACGTTTGAAGGAGTGGTTCACGACCAGCAGAAGGATGATACATCGTTTTGAATTCCATGGGCTGTGGAGGTATTGCAGATTGCGGTTCAACAGAATGTTGCTGGCTGTTGGCTATGCAAAAGAATTAGTAAGCAATACAGGTGAATATGGTGCACGCTTACCTAGGCTACCAGCACCTTCGAGGTTCCCATTGTAGTTCCCATTGTAGGCTTCGAAATCACCAGCATCCAGGTTATCTGCTGGCAGCACAGGGTCAGCTAGTGTCAGTTGGCATTGGAGGAGCACATAAAGAATACGTGAGACATACCTAGAGGACTATGATCCCTGATTGCAGGGGGCGCATTCTGAATCCCAGCAACTGATCGCGATGGGCCAGCACTAGGGGGCGTTATCATGCCCATGTCAGTGTGAGCCTGCTGCCGAGCTGCATACCTCAATATTGTCAAAGGAAACATCAAGAGCGGGTAGCAGAGGACTCACCTCTTTTCTGATCTCGTGCATATTGAATGGCGAACTCCGCTTGTTCCACCTTGGTGTCCTTCTGCTTCTTGCAGCTTGTTTCATGCTTCTTGAAGCCTTGGGTCTTGAACTTCTTGCTACAATGCGGGCATAGAAGCTGCCCTGTCAGAGTTTCTTCGGAGAAGTTGTATTTGCTTCGATGAGTGCGAGAGGGACCCATGGTGATGGTGATGTGATATTGCACGATTGATGAAGTGATTCAAATTCAGAATGTATTGTTTATCGATGTCATTGCATAAGAATATCTCATGCTTTTGATGACCTCAACTGCCTTGAAAGGCACTTTTAATGTACCTTTCAATGCACATGACCCAACTTGTAAGCCGGCGGCATTACAATGGCCTGTGACTTTTTTCCGACAACAATTGCTCGGCTACTAACATAGGTCAATCTGGCAGGTCATAGTAAATTAAGTTGTCATCTTCCACCATTGCCCCAGACACTGAGCCATCTGAGTCACTCGCCGAGTCAGCTGCCTCCCACCTCTTCTGCTTGGCCAATTGTGGCGAAGAAATACTAGTAGTAGACAAGTCCATTTCTGCAACCCACTTTTCCATATGGCGAGTGAGCTCTTTAGCAGATTTCCTGAGATTCTCATTGATGGATATGCGCTCCTCGTCATCTTGAAGGGTGGCAAGATGATGTTCTAATAAATTAATAACACTGTCAAAAGTGATCCTTGTCTCCATGTTGTCCCTCAAGATCGCCTGCCACTCTTTTGCAAGGGGGATAAGTTTTGCGGAGTATGGGTGGATCTGTCTTTTGAGATGGCCTCCTCCGATGAAACTGCGAAAAAGTAGACCTTCCTCAATTTGCAGTCATCCAGGTTGAGAGTCGACCAGCTATCCGGCAATGAGTCGAGTATAGACTCTGCGCGCTCCTTGCCGTTAGGACCACTGTACTTGATACAAATATAGGTGAAGACATAAAAAAGGGACTCGAGGTCATCCCCAAAGCTCTGATAGATGCGAGATGGTAGCAGCACCAAAGTTTTGGAAGAGGATTTCCGCGCTTCTTGCAGTGTTGCCTTGCCCTGCAATTCTGCCATTTGGGCGAGAAGTGCACGTGACATGAAAGGGATTGTGCCCTAATAAACCAGTTAACAAAATTTTATGCGTTCAAGGGAGATATACTTACTGTACCGCCAATAGTATATTCATCATTCGAAGTAATGAATACAGCAAATTCCCAATCAATTAATAGCCCCCTGCTATCATTGGGCTCCCCCATAATCATCGCATTGTAAAGACTACAGTCACAATGCAAAATGCCACGCTCTACTGCCATGTGTCAGACTAAAATACAAAAATCAACACAAGACTCATGTACAATTAACTAAAGCTCACCGATAGCGATGTCCCTAATCGCCCTCACGAGTTCCTTCAGCGTTTGAAATGCATGAAGGAGGCGAGTGCAGGGCTTCATGATGAGGCGAATGTGTGTACGATGGGTACCTCCAATACTTGGATTTTCTGTGTGGTGATAATCCCGTGTGTTGTCAATGATGTTGTCTGACTTTTTGACCAGCCAGTAATCTACTAGCTGTGGAACACCAGGAACACCACTCATCGCTTCTAGCATGTTGATCTCATTTAAGATTTTATCCTCACCGCCCTGAACCCAGTGGTCTTTAATAATATATTCTTCTCCATCCAGACTAACCAGGTAACAGACAGTTCCACAACCAACGAGGCCCTTGGTGATGAAAAGGATCCTCAGCATAATGTAGATCTTGTCCTTGACATGGATCTGGCCGCAGGGTTCTGCAGGCGATTGAGGAGTGTGGGGGAAATGGGAAGGATGAGGGGTAGAGCTGAAGGTGGCATCAGGCCCCTGGGGAGGAGACCGAGATGCAAGGGCCAACAAGGGAGCACTGGTGATCACAAGGGGTTGAAGCGGAATATGCAAAGGAGGAGGGAGAGCAGGGGAAGGAGGGAGGACAGGAAGCTCTTCTATCAGGTCTCCGAGAGACTCAAGATCGTCATTGGATGTTAACTCGGGAGCATAGTCAGCGTGGGGTATTGGCTCAAGGTCATCTTCGGAGGGGAGTATTGAGTCGGCCACATAATTGGCGGGCAGTTCCTGGGGATCCTCATGCAACGCAGCAAGAGACTCGCTGTCATGTTCGGCAGGAGTGGCAATACTCCGAGTAGTTCAGGCAGGAAAGTTCTTGAATGGGCAATAATCAGGTATGACTGTACCTGGGGGTGGGGGAAGCACAACACTTTTCCAGAAGGTGACCATAGAATCATACCCGATACATTCTGGGCTGCCAAATACAACAGCAGCAATGATTTCGGCGAACACGTTCAGATTCTGATGGATTTTGATATGAGGGGTCACAACACCACCAGCATGGTCGTACAACAAGACCCTGAGTTCGCAATATTGGTGTGTGAATGACAGTATGAGTGTGAAATGTCTCCAGGGCTGGTTTCTGAGAAGTAAGTATGCCTGAGTATCAGCAGCCTTCACAATCCGCTGTGCAGGCTTATACTGGCTGTATGTCAGCTCAGCGCATACGCGAATATTGCCCCACTTGGGCTTGATCTCATTGGATAGCACAAGATCAGGCTTGCGCTTGATATCGCTACCAGACACTGCAACCGTAGAATTGCTTGCACTCCATGTGCAAGTTGCAGATAGCGTAATCAGCTTGCTTTCTGATTCAGCCATAGCAGTACTAAGAACATTGAAAAATGACGAGAATATCTCTTCATGAGTGAATTTCTTGACATCTGGCTGAGGAAGAGTAGTATCGGTTGAATTGGTGGATGACTGAGGAGGTGTGGTTGGAAGTGCCCAGTTCCAAAGTCCAGCTTGACTATCATACAGTGGCACAATGTCGTCCGGGGAGTTTTGACTGAAGATGGTGTTGATCTGTGCATTGCGATGAAGTATTTTGCTGAGTTTGATTCTGAGTGTGTCTGCCTGGGGAACTTTGACTGTGAAAGGCTTGAAAATCAGAGGGAGTAGGTGGCCTAGCGAACCATTCGCTGGGGATTGAGGTTCAGTTGTCACTAGACAGTCAAGCTCAACGGTTGTCATTTTGTTTAAGGTAGCAATGTTGTTGACAGGAATTGACATTAGCGATGCCAATTTTATCCCATCGTCGACAGTCCTATAAAAATGGGGCGTATTGGCGCTGGGTAGTGAGGCAACAAAGGTGAGACAAGATTGCTTATCGCCGCAGTCTAACTAAAGTAACACAAGATTCATACAAAAATAACTGGAGTTTTGGCTAAAGCAGGCACATTACGGTGAAGGTACAACAATTCAGATGGTGAGTCTGAACAATGTTGGGTCTTGCAGAACCTAGCTGCTATTCGACCCTAAAGGGTTTCTGGACCAGGCTCAAGGCTCAGAGGAGAGGAAATATCACGAAAACTTGCTGATCTCTCAGACTCATACTGGTAAACTGGTGAAAAGATAACTTCATTATGTAAGCTACAAAAGTGCCAACATAAGGTAAGGTAAAAACAGTCTCTACCAACCCAGCCAGAAATGAATCCCTACAATGGTTCAAAAAAATGGTGTGCTACATTGAAAGAGGGAAGAAAAGATTTTTGTCCCAGTACTTATTGAGCCAGAATTCTGATGCGTGCTCCATACTGTTATATTGAGTGAGACGAGGGTCTGCACTTGTGCCAAAGCGAGGGACAACATTAACAGGCGCCCTGAGCTGGGTGACTGGTATGACATCACCAATGCGAGTCCCGTTTGACCGCTGTAGAAGAGAAATGGGAAGTGGGTGAATATAGGTGGTATGAGATAACTCAAGTAGTCCTCAGTGAGCGAGATATACGTTGGCCCAAGGGGATTGCTACTGAGAAGGTTCCTCTAAGTATATAAAACAGAGGGAAACACTGAACCGGGCGCTTGGTCAAGCCTGGTAAGGCGCACAACGATGAGCGAAAGCGACGTGAAGAGCCGATGGGCGATAGCGGCCGACAATAGATAACGGCGCGCGGCTTGTAACGGAAGCGCGCACTAAGCGGAAGTGGTGCACGTGCGGGTGGTGGAGCGCAGCAACTCTTGATGAGTCAGAAAACTAATGGGCAGAGTTTCTAGTAATGTACGGCGGTGGCGCTCGTATTGTACTTAGATACTTTAGATTTAGGGGGCAACTTAGACTTATAGTCCAACAATGTGTGGGCAGAAAGATCCTCATTATACAATTTATGCGCGTCTATATATACTAAGTAATGTTAAGCACTGTCAAGCGCTAAAGCGAACCGAGAAGCGAAGCGGACAAGATAATATGTAATAAAGGGTCCATAACAGAAAACATACGAAATATGGCCATAAGCGCCGGAGATATGTCAGAATCAATGAAAATAGAATCGGAATACGCACCGACGAACCGAACAGACATGGAATGGATGGACGGAGGATGTGCGACGGAACCAAGGATGCATGCGCCCAATGCGCGACTGAGGAGTGACCGGAGCGCTGGTGCTTGTGAGCGGCCGATGAAGCGCTTGAGCACGCTGTAGAGACTCATGCCTCTCATGGTGTGATATGGCGCTTTACACTAGGAGTACATAGCACAAACTTGCAGCATCACTATGTGTGCTATCCGCAGGTATTCCACTATGAGGCACAGCTTTCCCGTGCAACGTGCGCCATGCGCGCACCATTCCCACACTTCACGATGTATACGCGCACGCGCATTCCTGCGCTTGAGCGCCCTATAGCGCCAGCCATCCAGAAGCACCCATCCACTGTCCACCAAGCCCTCTAGTGCATATATTTCTATTTCTCTCATTTGCATATTGTTCTGTCTTTATTTTTATCATGGATTCTCACTCATATATATCTTTACATACCTACTCGGTAGCGCTTCAGCTCCGCATTACAGCGCTTAGGTGCGCTATATAAGTGCCAGCAGTACATAGTACTATGAACTTTCCAAGCTACTTTTTACTTTTCCTACCTTTCACTTTACTTTACTTTTACTTTCACCTCTCACTTTACCTAGTACTTACTACCTAGAAAGTCGCAATAGAACTCTATTCCTTTACATCTCGCACTCTCACATCTCTTGCATCATATTATCACTTAAGTCTAGTCTATCTATCATTTTCGCATATGCGCGCTGTAGGGATTCATTTCTGGCTGGGCTTGTAGAGACTGTTTTTACCTTACCTTATGTTGGCACTTTTGTAGCTTACATAAGCAAGCAATCTTTTCACCAGTTACCAGTATGAGTCTGAGAGATCAGCAAGTTTCTATGATATTTCCTCTACTCTGAGCCTTGAGCCTGGTCCAGAAACCCTTTAGGGTCGAATAGCAGCTAGGTTCTGCAAGACCCAACACATTGTTCAGACTCACCATCTGAATTGTTGTACCTTCAGCGCACACTTTCCCGCTGTAGGGATTCATTTCTGGCTGGGCTTGTAGAGACTGTTTTTATCTTACCTTATGTTGGCACTTTTGTAGCTTACATAATCAAGCAATCTTTGCACCAGTTACCAGTATGAGTCAGAGTGCTCAGTAGTTTTTATGATATTTCCTCTCCTCTGAGCCTTAAGCCTGGTCCAGAAACCCTTTAGAGTCGAATAGCAGCTAGGTTCTGCATAGACCCAACATTGTTCAGACTCACCATCTGAATTGTTGTACCTTCACCACGCTTCGCACTAATACATGCACGTGTTCCCGTGCCTTGCGTGCACCTGCGCTTTGTCGCACTTCACTTTGGTGCATACCTCTATATCTTTGCTGCACTCGCTTCCCCTTTAGGGTCGAATGCACTTGTCTTCTCAAGTAACGCAGACTAGGCAAAGCGCGACCTTACAACATTTATAGATACAGTCTGGAGCCTCATTTGCTCCTCACAGTATTGTTGTTTCTACAGCGCTGTGTGAGATATGAGTCGCGCTATATTGGGAAGTGATAGTGACAATGGGATTTTAGATCCCTGCAAGCCCACAGAGATATTAGTCTCTACACCACTTCGCCCTCTTGAGAAAATGTAACTGCGTAGCTGGTTTGTGCTCGCTATTGCTAGTAAAGCATTGCACATAAGTGGGGAAGTGATCCTTCCAAACTTCCTGTGTGCCTGTCTTTCTAATCAGATGCAGAATAAGCCTAATTTGAGCGATGATATGGCCTGGAAGCTCAAGAGTTAGAGAGCATATAGAATAAGTAATGGAAGAACATCAATCACCATGAAGACCATCAGCAGGCCATGAGTACCCATCCTCATTATTGAGGATAACAGTATCATATCGACCGAAGGTCCAGATGTCGGAAGGTGGTGCACAGTTAAGGGTCTGCGCAGGTCGCGCATTGGTGGTATTGTGAAATTCCATATCCTGAAGTCAAAGTTTGAACCATATTTGCAGTTTATTGAATGGAAGCGAAGCATTGAACCCACTCCTCCTAGCCCCTCCAAGCGGATGAACGTGATCATACCCATGAGTATCTTCACAACGAAGGAAATCAGCGATGGCTGGTCATAAGTCGGGAAGGCCGAATTTAAGGGCAGCATTGTCGACAGAGATGGCCCTGATTGACGGGCTGTAAGTGAGATGAAAGGCTGTACGTCCAACAACGAAGGTGCATAATGGTAGAGGGACTGTCCCTACCTCCCTGCACTGGAGGACCTTTGCCATTGCAAAGTAGTCAGTGATCGGACGTGCATATCCAGGGTACTTGACTGTGGCCAAGAGGTCTGCAGGGAGGTCATCGTTGTCATTGTCATTGTCATTGTCAACATCAGAGTCAACAATGTCATCGTTAACGTTGACGTGTTGGTCCAGGTTGGTTCGCAGCCTCAAGTCTAATAGACTTGTTGCGAGGTCAAAACAACGACATTTGTCCACGTGGTCAAGGTGATGACATATTTGTGAATCGTAGTTGTTATTATTACTTGACCGTGCAGGATCTTTGATCTCAGTTATATGTGCGTGCTCTGTAGCATCCGCACTCCACTGCATGGTGACACCGGTGTTGCATATACTGGGAACTATATTGTGCATAAGCTCTATCTTCGGGATGTACCAGTTATCGATAGGCTTGTTGTGTTGTCCACGACGAAACCCAGCAGCTGTGATTGCATGTTTGTTGCCGTGAAATTCGGCCAGTGCTGCAGAAATACGCTCAATATCATGATCATCGATCCGTGGTGACTGTACGAAATAATGAAAGTCCATCAGAGCTTGTACAGCAGTCATAACGGCGATGGGTACCGCATCCGCACTGACCACAATAACCGAGCACTGTATATCATGTTTGGCACGCCCTGTGACCTGCTTCAGTTTTGAAATGCCACCATGAAAATGGCAAAATCCTGTCACAGGCTGCAACACTGAGAAGCGGAAATCAATCTCTGCTTCCCCAACCGCACATATGATCCATTTGACATCATGATCATAAAACTCGCAGTGAAGATGGTGAAGATTTTTGAGAGTGAGGAAGTGTGATGGGTCAGCAAAGAGCCAATCCTGCCAGAAAGGTTTGTCGACACCGTTTAAATGAAACTTCTGCGCTTTGCGGAAGAAAGCTTCAATATTATCAGGATTGACCTTTCTCCAGATGGCAGCTATTTGTGCTAGTGTTGTTGAACCAGTTCGAGGCTCGTGTCGGAAAGAGTCGCCAAATTGCTTGAACATGGCCATAGTGACCGGGGAAGTTTTGCCACCAATGGTAGCCAGCATCATAGCCTCTGGAGTGTCGACAATGTAACTTGCGAGAGGAGTGAAACAGTAGTGACTATGCCCAACGGGATCCGACAACATGATGCCCTCGTGGGCAGCCTGCTTAAGTGGCTCTAAAATGATATTCAAGCATTGATGGACTAGGCGATCCTCCAGCATGCCACGCATATGTTTCTTTTTATAGAGGAATTTTGGCACCGGGAGCAGCACAGTGAGCACAAAAGAATTAGATGACATCTTGAGTCGGGTGGACATGGGTATATTAGTGAGGCTTATGAGGAGCGGGTGCACGACTCTGTCGCCTGTCATCATAGACACATTTGTCTTGTCAGATGATAAAATGGTCCCAAGCAGTGTCGCACCTCATGGTAGAGCTGACTGCGTCGAAAATGATAAGTACTGAGACTACCTTACATAAACGAAGATACACACCTGCATTTTCCACGCATCATCTCCTGTCATCCATTCGGAGTACACACAACACAGTCGCTGCGCCGTGGTATACACCTTGCAGGGCATAAAGTCTAACCAGTCATGAATGGATGGATGGTTAAGTATACTGGAGATACAATCCAAGGGGTCATGCCAATATAATACGACCGGTGATTTCGTTGGATGTGTCATCTTAATTACTTGAGACATCCAGCATGGACCGCTCAGCAACATTTCTGCTCTGCCTCACAGTTCCTTGGCTGAAGAGAATGACAGAGGAAGAGCCTTAATCTTAACATACACTTTGTTAGACTTGACTGATTGAAAATATTGAGTACTTACCATCCCGAGTGACAAAAAGCTATCTATCTTCCCCATGCTTAATCCTGAATGAAGTAGCCATGACCCAAGCTTCCAATCTTTCTGGCCACTGAACGGGTAGTAAAGATTCCTTGCATGGTGCACACTGTTTTTGTCTGAGTTGAATAAATCAAGGAAAGTATGACCTGTGCCATATGACTGGGAAACTCTGGGGAACCAGTCGATGAAGCCACCAGTCGTTGATATTTCTTCTTTGTTAACAAGATCACCGGTAGAACAACCCTCATTGAAATCAACATCACCTCAAGTATCCTCACCCCAGCCTCTAGATCTGTCATCATCTTCATGCGTGTTTTCGAGGTGAGCATAATCGTTGGGAATACCAAGCTCATCGTTGTCCACGTTCATACTATTAGTAGACTCATCGGTGCGCGCAGACTCCAACCGAATGATATCTTGTAGCCAGGTACTACAACCTGAACAAGGCTGATTCGTATGCCAGGCCACAGCGACCTCATCGTGGAACCCATCTCTGCTGCACAAAGGACACTGGAACATAGTAATATTAAGTTCTAGAAATATGAGACGAGTTTGTATGTATGTGTGAGAAAGGACACATATGACGTCCTTTCTCACACATACATACAAACTCATCTTATATTTCTAGAACTTATGTCTGAGCCGACCCCACTTGTTAGTCTTAACATCCACAACAACCTCCCTACCTCAATGAAAACATCTGATTGCTGCCCTTGGTGCTGTGTTTTGCATGCAGGTTACCATCAATGTCTCTGAACCCCGGTGAAAACTGGCGACCATGACCGCGATCTCTCGGAATTGTATGATGTCGCTGACACTATTAGCTCTATGGTAAGTGGCTCAATATTTCTACCAGCAACTATTATCTATCATCTAACATACTTGTAGACCATTGAAGACACAGACGACCTTGAAGCTAACTTACTTATGGAACTCGCGAGAGCCAGACGAGAGATATTCAGAGCCAAGAAATCCCTGGCTGATTGCATGGTCCACGAGCATGAAGTTCTGGCCCATTTATTGAAATTTAAATCTAGTATATCCAAGCACAAACTGGACAAGGCAGATGTTGGATTGGGGTATATGCGGATCGCCTTTAAAAGACAAGGTCTTTCTCATCACGTGTTTCCCCATGCTTCACACAGTAAGTCTCCTGATACATTGATATTCATGGTGCTATAGTTGACTAGCTACAGGTTCTCACATCAAGCCACAGGCTGCCACCCATCAAAACATTACTATCCAGTTGGATTGACATTGGGATGTGTGTATTTCATAGTCGCACACTGTTTCTTGTATCATAGTACCAAGTACATAATGCATCATCGTGTATATTCAATCAATTTTTAACAGAATGATTCGCACTGGTAGTATCTAGTAGTACAAGTTTATTTGTACAGATATTTGTCGCTCAACTCGAACAGCGCGAGCACTGGTGACCATGATAGCTATACATCTTGTTGGAACTGTGCGAATTACCTGTCTGTGCTTATATGCCTTATGTGAGCGCTGTCTGCTCTGTGAGAGTCTGTGGGAAACTGTGGGAAACTGTCAAAATCAGCATTATCTGGGAGAAATTTGTGTTTTACTGATGTGTGTGGGTGGTCGCGGAATTCCTGTAAAACACTGGGGTGGGTTCTACAAAAGAGCAAAGGGGGTCAAAACAACAGCCTGGGATGCTCTAAGGGTTGAGTGGGGGAACTGGAAGGTGTGTTCTCACCTTGATTCGCTGCAAGCTCCACTTTCTCGATTAATCAAAACCTTTGTCTAGTTCATTGCCAAGGAGCGCCAGCGTTACCCAGACACTGCCTCATTCTGGCATGCATTCAGCGACAGAAACGGCAAGAGGTTTTCATATCAGCAAATCCTTAACAGCATCGCAGAGCAGCGGACTTCAGCAGCAGCTCAAGATGCAAATAATGCACGCACATTTTTTGGTGGAAATCTTGACCATCCATTGGCTCAGGGTGCATTCCGCTATGCCAAGGGTAGCAAGATGTATCTATTGAGCAAGGATGATGCCGTTGTAGTGGGGAGCTTCAGGCAAAGGCTGGGGAGACAGGGATAGGAGGAAGACGAGGTCAGGAGGGATAGCAGAGGATAGGAGAGTAGAGCAGATGACACAGTTAGAGGAGACAAGGACTCGACCGGCAGATTCAGGGGTCTTGGGGCTTAGGGTCTGGGAGCACATAGAGCACACTCTTGTATCATACCACGTATGACGACGACGACGCTGTCTTCACCCTTTCCCGAGCACAAGGCTGGCTAGGACATATGGTGATGAGAGTGGGGAGGTGACCCACGAAATCAAGCAGGAATCTGGATCAGGTGAAATTTCAATTGAAGACTGCGCATGGTTGCGATGCCTACAGCGAAGAGGCACACTATCAGTACTTCCTCCTACTTCTTCCCCAATGAATCCCTTGGAAGGAGCACCAACAACACCAAGGAGACGTAACGTTTCTCTGCCGCTGCCTCACTACATTGAACATGAACCATCAGGAGAAACCGGAGGCGCATTTCGCCTTCACCCAGCACGCTTCACACCGGTAGACAATATTCCCTCCTCAAATTCTACTGAAATCTTGTTATCGTCAACTACGCCTACTAGACCGAGAAGTAAGTCAGTAGCGAAGACGACATCAGCACTTCGTAAACCACCTCCCATAACGACCTCAAAATCAAACAAACCACGGGCAGCCTTAGGCAAAACGCAGACAATGGGCACACCAGACACTGTGAAATCAGTACCACTCTTCTATGGCGACTATGGGGAGAATGAGAACCCATCAGCATGGTTCGCTCAATTTGAACTATCACTCCCTATATCTTGGACAGATGCACAGTGCATCCAACAGTTCGGCATGCAGCTGACACCAGGAGAAGTCGCAGAAGAATGGTACCATAACTTAATGTCCCACCACCTCAACTCATTCGCCAACCTCAAACTTGAATTTTTCAAACATTGGCCACCTCCTAAGCGTCCTAAACTCATGCGAGCGCAACAGAAGGAACGCATCATGGCGCAAGTGTTGAAAGAAGACGAAATTGGAGTTTGGACGCAGGAAGGGAGGACAGGTAATTATGCACATGTAACCTGGGCAGTCAACATCTCACGATTGGCACTGGGAATGGGTGATGTGGATGGTGCAATGATTGAGTACGCATTAGAAGGCATCCCGGACCTGCTGAAAGACCATCTAAAGTGCATCTACAACTCATGGGACAAGTTCGTGGAAGACATACAAGACGTGCTGAACATCAAACTCAAATGAGGACGTGAGAATTTAGACAAGGAACGAGCGAGGGACATAGAGATTTCCAAACTCAAGATGCAAAGCGTAGCATTTCCCTCGCCCGCTCCACAACAATTCTTGCAGCACACATCACCCATGAACCACCCTGCACCAGTATGGATGCCAAATACTCTCAACCCATCATTATTCACTGCAGCGCCAGCAATGTTACCATCAATGAACGTAGGAATACTGGCGCGCAGTGGATACCCAACGTACGGCAACAGTAGGGGAACATTTATCCCATGAGTACAGCTGTCTCGCTCCCAGATTCTAGAAAAGGCGGCTCTAATGCTGCAAAGGCCCAACACAGAACCTGGGATGCGGCAATATGAAGCAGATGTCAGCCTATGGCACAGAGCATATGGTATGGACAGTGCTCAATCATTAGAACGGCCATATCCCCTACGTCCGGGAACAGCAATATTAGGATCGGGAGAGTGTTATAGTTGTGGAATGGTCATGGATCCGATGCACCTTAGTTCGCAGTGCATGGCTACGAGTCAACTACGATCACATGAGACTCGATGGCATCAGTATGTAGCAGGACTATTGCGACGAGCAACCCAGCAGCAAACACCACAAATTCCATACCCCACACCAGTTCAATATGTCACCACATCAAACCATCTTTACTTCCCACCGCAAGGGAACACACTGTCTGCACCAGTCTACCATATTGCGCTGCAGGAGGAACTCAGTTGGGGAGAACCATACAAGGGAGCAGGTGTTTCGGACCAGGGATATGAGTGGAGTTCAGAAAACTATGGGGGACCACTGCAAATGATGGACCAGCAGTAGTCCCACAAGATCAGAGTCCATCCACCAACCAATCACCCATGTCGACGAAGCCAGAACATTTCATTTTTTCATCCTCTACAGCGCCGCAAGCACTCAATATTGTACATATTCAGAACGGATCGCCTACCATGCCTGTCAAATTACCTTCTCATCTCTCGCAAACTAACTCACTACCAGTTAGTAACCCTTTGACTACAGATCTTTCTTCTTCAGTTACGGACGTAGTAACATTGTCAGAGAATCTATCAATGAACACGCACTCAGTTGTACTCTCCACTATATCTAGCAATACTATCGCTGATGTTTATTTGTTGGATGATGCAGGGCAAGCAATCAGAACTCAAACGAGCAATCCCTTCCTCACAGTACCTCACCTGCATGGACCTCAGGGAGAGAAGATATGAGTCCTAGCCATAGTCGACAACAGCGCCATGATCAACGCAATCGACACAGCAGCCTTTCAGCGGATCGCAAGAAGATTATCCCCGCTAAGTCCATCTTCCAGAACGCTTCATATGGCTGATGGCTCTCTAGTATCATCAACCGGTGTATGGTTGGGAACAATCTCCTGGGGACTGATCAATATTCAAACAACCTTCGAAGTATTTCCTAGTGGAGAATCGTGGCGCATGCTAATTGGAAAACCACTATTAGAGCAAGTGCGTGCAATACATGATTATAGCAGTGACGCCATACTACTCCCATATGGTAACGACTTCCATCGAATCTCGAACTTCACCACATTTAGACCGTTACCACATCCATGCTTACCTACAGCTATCCATTTCCCATCCAGTACCACCTTTAATCAAACCGTACCATCTTCAATGTCTATACTTAAGCAGAACAACAACAACAATAATAATATATTACATGTATCTACTATACCATCACCTATAGACATACATAAACTCGATTCATCAACTAACACTTCAATTCAACAGGCACCCATCAGCGAAAGGAACACGGACGAGCTCACCATCACCCCTCATCAAGCAATGCAATCGGACTCAGTTCCTCAATCAGTTTTCGAAGTGGAAGATATAGAACAAGTACCTACAGCAGGTGATGTACTAGACCCATCAACCTCGACGCTACCCAAAGATATCTTTACTAGGTTGACCAAACACAGACTGTTCTGGCCAGCACGAGTGGAAGCAATTGTGAATGCGCTCCATTATGGAGAACACCTTACAGAAGATCAATGGGCACAGACTCAAGCACTTATTGCGGAATTCGCAGATGTCTTCGCACTATCAGTACGAGAGGTGAAATCAGTAGATTTCATTGAGTTTCGACTACAGATCCCACCAGACGCTATGTTCTCGAAGAAAGTACACCAACGACCATTAACCAAACCGCAATGAGAATACCTGTTCCCAGTATTGGACGACATGCGGGAAGCAGGGATTACAAGGTTCATCAAATTGGACGAAGTCAAGGCCGTCGCATCAATGGTCCTCATACAAAAAACACATTCAGGGACAAGCCTTTCGATGGAGGACATACGGAGGGTTGTTAATAAGCAATGTATCGCACTCGGTGAGCCACCGGATTTAGATATTGACATGGACTCAGCATCAGCAGCAGAACCAGAATTGAAGGAAACCAATATGCCAAAGGTCAAATGGCGTATCTGTCAAAACTTCAATGATGTCAATAAAATCTCTCAAGTTGCACCAACACCACAAGGGGACATCACAGCGAAGCAGCAACATTTAGCAGGGCATGAATATATTTGCGTATTGGATTCTGCAGCCAGCTTCTACACGATACCGGTAGAGGAAGACAGTCAACCATACCTATGTTTCTACACGGAAGGGCGAGGATATGAAGCATATCGTCGAATGCCAATGGGTGTGCAAGGAGCTCCATCGTGCTTCAGCGACCTTACAGCACTGGCTCTGTCAGATATTCTAGTCAAGCTACTCATGGAGCTATACGTCGACGATGGCACAATGGCGGGAAATGTATTCAGTGAATTACTGGATCGCTTATGCATGTTTTTCACCAGGTGCCGAGAATGGAACCTGTCAATATCGCCAAAAAAGACACAATTGTTCATGAATGAAGTCATTTTTGGGGGAGCATGAGTGGGACGGGAGGGCATACGGCCAGATCTAATGAAGATTGCCGCAGTTGCTGAGTGGCCAGTTCCATCAAATTTATTAGAATTGATGCACTTTTTAGGCTTGACAGGATACTTCAGATCGTTAATCAAAGACTACACTTGTATCACAATACCACTCACAGACATGTTATGCAACCTGGATGCACCACCAATCAGCGCGAAAGGAGGGAAACATAAGTATAGACAGTTTTTGAGAGAACGCAAACTCGAAACCTTCTGGGAGCAACAACACACTTGTGCATTCGTAAAGCTCAAGCAAATTCTCTTGATGGAACTGGTACTCAAAGCACCCATGTTCGACAGAACACCGTTTATCGTCATCAGTGATGGCTGCAAAGATGGCTTCGGAGCAGTCTTAGCACAGTGTTTTCCATTTCAAGAAACGTCAGGTGAAATGACTACCAAAGTTCACCCAAGTGCATTCGCGTCAAAACGGACATCACCAACAGAGGAACGGTACAAGCCCTACCTGTTGGAATTCGCAGCATTGAAATATGTGTTCGATCAATTCGGATTGATCATTTGGGGCTTTCCGGTCGAAATCGAGACGGATTGTATTGCATTGAGAGATACATTATTGAATGATAAGCCATCAATAGTGCATGCCAGATGGCAAGATGGCATCATAGCTTACCAAATTGCAGATGTACGACATAGGTCAGGTGCAAGCAACACAGTGGCGGATGCTCTTAGTCGAAGGGCGTCGGGACAACCACAGAAGGATGGAGATGGTAGCGTGTGGTCAGTGAGCGAAGACTGGGATAGAATGCGGACTGGTGAACGACCTATTCCTCGTATGTTACAAGTAACACTGGCTACATGGCCCCCCTATCATTTTTC